ATGAGGTAATCGTGTGCTTTCCGACATGATTCGTATTTAGCACACGGGCTGTGTATAAAATGGATGTGCTGTATATAAAGAACATAATTAACATATTTTATGTTAAGTAGCCAGTGATTTAACAAAGGGAAAGGCATGGAAGCCAGAGATATACAAATCAAAGGGGTAGTTTAACAGGGGTGTTCTCTTTTTTGCCTGCACGTATTGTTTAATGGATTATAATTACTGGACCGTACTAATCCTTACAACAATGGGGATTAAAGCAATAGTCTGTAGTAGAAATGTAAGTATGCCAGCACTTGCTGGTAAACAAGTAAAGTTTATCACATTTTGTTTATTGCATGTAGCACCTGCAAATTATACGAATATGAGTAATTTGAAAATTTTGTAATGTTACTAATATTGCTTTTAAAAGAGAGAGATGTTTACATAGTTCCTTTGAGTGGCATACAATGTATTTAGAAGTAGGTGAATCAGAAAAGGACAAACTTTATGGATGAACAACTTCTTTATTCGGCTGATGCGACGTTTCGGGTACAGATTCTCGTATCGTATAGAAACGTCGCATCACCCGAATAAAAGAAGGTGTTCATCCATAGCTAGCTAGCCAGCTAGACAGACAGACAGACAACCAGCCAGACAGACAGACAGATAATCTTTTACTTCCTCCGAAGTCGAAGATACAGCAGGTTGTAACAATAGTTATACATATGTATTTACAGGTTACAGAGTGTGACAATCAAAGTTAAAATAGGTATTTTAGTTGATGCAGCCAGGGTTTTACAGAGTTTGCTATTAGTTTTATACATTTAAACCACATTGTTCAAGCTCTTGAGCATATGCATTTGGTAGACCACCGAGCATAAATGAGACAAATGATTTAAACATATTTATTTTCAAAGAAAGGAACCGGATCGGTAAACAAGCATATTAATAATATGAAAAAATGACACAAATAGGTCTTCATCATTCCATAAACTCACAAAAGTGTCGACGTCAAGCATGTCAACTAGTGACTCGATCAAAGCGTTTCTACTACTTTGTGTGAGAGTGCACTGTAAATACATGTTTTACAATATCATAGGCAGCTATGCCACATTCAAACTCAAAATACTGAATGGTAAGAGTGCTGATACGTAGAAGAGCAGCAATGTTATTGAAACATTCTGGCTTTTATAACATGCAGACCAGTCTGTGACAGCCTTGTGAACATGTTTGGTTAAGTCTCAACTTCGTTAAGAAGGAGGATTGGTTTAACATCTCAGTTCGTTACAATGGCATATCTTGGTCATACATAATATTGCTACAAGATTAAGCATGTGGAAGACTGGCGATGACTTGCTATATCGCTCTTTATCCAGTGATGAAGTCTGTCTGTACTGACAAAGTCTATGCACAAACACTTTCTTAAAGACAAATTCAGTATCGCTGTAACATAGTTTAACGAGAAATAGGCAAGGCCTTCTGGTGCATATATCTTCGTAGTCTTACCAGGGCGAGACTGTCTCTGGCTATTGTGGATGATCCACGTTTTGAAAGGCCTTGGATACTTTTACAAAAACGATTTTGAACAGTTTCCAGCATATCATATTTCCTTTTCAGGTAAACGAGCGCATACATTATAAAGAGTACAAACCGCATGGCAGAATAACTCATTCCCAAATACGGTTAAGGCCACCCAAACACAGGCCATGGTTTTAATTGGCATTAAAGAGTATCCTAAGCCTTTCACATACAAACTGCGTACGTTTTATAGTTTTACCGGATGAATAGATTGTAGACCAGCAAATTTTACATGTGTATTGGAAGGTATTTCCTTCTCACCAATGTATATTTTAGGATGGACATGTTTTTGTATCTCCAAATACAAAGAAATAAACTATTTGATGCATTAAAGCGCAAGTGCCATGTATGCACATACTTATGCACAACATCAAGCAAACTTTGAAGTCCACCTGGGTATGCACTTATTAAAGACAAGTCGTCGGCTAACAGCACCCCTGGTGTTTTACCCAGCTGATAAGACACGAACCTGACCTACCCCTCTTTTTTACATCAAATACATTAGAAATGCAGCCACCAGTGCTAACACATGATTTCATTGATGTGTACATAAGTGTATATAATTCTCCACAGTTTACCTCGAATTCCGAAATTGTAAAGCTTATAGAAAAGTCCATTCAACCAAACTCTGTCAAACGCTTTCTCATTATCAAGGAAGGCACAATAAACAGGTGAATTTCTTTCGACATAGTAGGCAATACTTTCAGTTAGAGTAAGTGCTGCCGTTTCTGCTACACAAATTCAAATTCAAAGCTGGAGTCAGTGTTTCAATTCTTTTGAGCAGTAATCTTTCAAAAGGTGTTGAGAGAACAGGTGTAAGAGTGATACCTCTATAACTACATGATCCATGCTTGCTCTTACCATTTCCTTTGTGAACTGGTAAAAATATTACCAACACTAAATGCATTTGGTACATACTCAAACGATACAATGGCATTAAATAGTCATACAATATGGTCAATAACAGACCGACCAGCATACTTTACATGCTCGTTTGAAATACCATCTGAGCCTGGAGATTTGTTGTTTCTAAGACGTTTCACGGTATCAAGTACCTCATCTTTAGTAAACGGGAGAGAGACTGAATCACTGTCGTCATTTACAGGGTTATATACAACATCTTCTACAAACTTATCAACGTGCTCTGTAAATCCAGTATCAAAGCATTCTGCATTCTGAGGTACAGACAAGTCACAGAAGTACATGCTAAAGAGATTACATACAACTTCCTACGTGTTACAGGAGTCACAGTTATAAGGTAAAGACTGTGTTTGCTCTCTTTTAAGTTTAAACTTTTTGTAACTCTAAAGTACTCTTGGATGTCTACCTCAGCTGCTTGGTAAATTTCATCAAATGTTTCATTTCTGTACCGTTGCTTAGATGAACGTTGGTTTCTTCGAAATGCACGTTTAGCTTGTTTATATTCAATAAAATATTTGTCCTCTGAGCTGTTGCTTTTGACTTTAAAAATCCAATTTTTACGGCAATTACGCATATGATCATGATGTTCTGAAGTTCATACTTCCTCCAGTATGGCGTTAAGTGTGCTTGGAAGTAGGAATTGCAAGTATAGTTGCAGTATGTAGACATTCTGTGATATAACTATTGTGCTACTCGATGTATTCATCAGGAGATGAAAAATGTGCAACATCAAACTGTACATTTCTAAAGTAATTTTCGGTTTCATACCGATATAGCATAAACTCGGTACAATTTGCTTTCCCCAGTTTGGACGTTCCCCATGATAACTTACATTATCAGCGTCCATATTGAAACATACTAAGACAGGGCTGTGATCAGACACAGAATATGGGACGCCTGTATCTACGTAGAATCAGAAAAGGACAAACTTTATGGATGAACAACTTCTCTATTCGGCTGATGCGACGTTTCGGTACAGATTCTTGTATCGTATAGAAACGTCTCATCACCCGAACAAAGAAGGTGTTCATCCATAGAGTTTGTCCTTATCTGTTTATATAGATTATTGGCCTTGCTGGGTCAGTGCTTGTGTATCCCTTTATGTCAACTGTTCACCTAATGACCCGGTGTAGCAGGCCAGCGTCCCCCTTCTGGTTAAAGTATCCACCCGCAGCATCTTTAACGAGAGGGCAGGATATGTTTTTCCAGTCCAGGATTACACATCTCTCATATGGCATGCCAGATATTCAAGCCACGTTTTATGTCCATCCCATGTCCGCATTATAATATATTAGTATAATATATATGGTGCGTGCTACAAGTAGAGCTGAACAACGCCGGGTGCCATCGAAGGTTTGGGATGATCCTGAATCTTGAATTTGGATTGAGTGAGTGAGTGAGTGAGTGAGTGATTTTAGTTTTACGCCGGACGCATTCAGCAATATTCCAGATATATGGCGGCGGTCTGTAAATAATCGAGTCTGGACCAGAAAATCCAGTGATCAACCGCATGAGCCATCGATCTGACGCACAACTTGCACGGCATATGACATGACGTGCATTCATATAAACAAGTCAAGCGGTTGTGTAAGAGCCAGACCAAGAAATGATAAAAACACAATAAAGTATTGCCTCTTATAACATGTTTCAGGATTAACTGAAATCGATTGTCAATATCCAACCCGCGATCTTTACGGAGAGAGAACAATTCATAGCGTGAAGCTGAGGTTGGCGTTCTTGACCCCATGAAAGTGAACAGGGTGCTCATCAGCTTTCACAAGAGGTCAATTGGCAGCATACAGTCTCGGCATCTCAACTGAACAATGGTTCTTCAGTATATATACGACTGAACTGACCTCTCCACCATTAGGTAACCATTGCCAGATGCATGACGGTCAGGTTAAAGAAAAACTGGCAAACGTACACGCATATGCAATGGAACCACATTTATGCCACGGAAAGCGTAGCCACTGAAACTATCAGCACAGACAAGTAACTGCATTAACTAATCCTTGTGTAGTGTTACTTTGCATACATGTGCAGGTGTTATTGTGTGGACAGCAGGAATCGTAGACAGGGTTTCCAGATCAGCAGGTGTTCAGATTGAGGACATATTGAGTAATGTTCCATGTTATACATGCCCCACCAAATGGACTCACCCAGAAGATAGGGTTTCCAGATCAGCAGGTGTTCAGATTGAGGACATATTGAGTAATGTTCCATGTTATACATGCCCCACCAAATGGACTCACCCAGAAGATAGGGTTTCCAGATCAGCAGGTGTTCAGATTGAGGACATATTGAGTAATGTTCCATGTTATACATGCCCCACCAAATGGGCTCACCCAGAAGATAGGGTTTCCAGATCAGCAGGTGTTCAGATTGAGGACATATTGAGTACTGCTAATGTTATACATACATGCCCCACCAAATGGACTCGCTCAGAAGGAAGTGATAACAGATTAACTCGACTAGCAAGGTTGCACTGTACTCTGATAAACTAACAAGAGGCCAAGTCCTGTAACACAAACGTCAGCTTTATTTAAGATTTCAAGGCCTCTCTTTCCGGTAGGGTTGCAGTAGGTGTTGTCTCCACGTCCGGAGGTTCTGACCTTGCACAGTTCATCAGTAAACCAAGAATGGAGGCCAGAAGAAAAGACGAGGCTGGAGGAAAAGAAATTACTTTATTAAGTCGGCAAATAAGTAGTAGGCTGTTAGCAGAGCTGAAATGTTCATAAATAGAGGAAGAGTATTGTGTCGACCTGGCCATCATTTCCAGATCATGGAATGTCGAGGGGCGTGGTGGGTGGACAGTATTGCTTGACGTTGGGTTAGGTACGCTCTCAACATATAATAAGCGTCAACAAGAAAAGGTAGCAAAAGCTGACATGGGCAGAGCGTCAAGGTAACATGTCGAGGTAGGGGAAAAAAATTGCACAGTGAGTATTGTTTTGTGTCAAGCTAGCCATCACGTCAAAATCAAGGAATGACGATGGGTATGTGGACGGAAAGTATTGTTCAATTAAGGGTCGATACACAACTCACATTGGGTCAGTTTCATAGTTCATATTGAATCAGCTGTGATAAGTTGTGAAGCTGGCCTGAAAATTGAGGCTGATGTATTGTCAAGAGGAAGAGGAGTTGACGAAAACTCAAATTCAATATTGTGTCTATCCAGAGAGGTATTGTGACCTCCTACACAGTTCAGATCATGTACAGAATGCAATGTCAGTATGAAGTAGAAAACGGTCAAAACTGTCAAAATGTCGAGATCGATGAACTGGCGATACGTCATTGGTTTTGATACAATGAACTTCTCACCTGAAAATATGAAGGCAGTCTGATAATCTCCGTCGCCTCATACAGCATTCCTGAAACAGTAGGTAAGGTGTAAACCTATCTCAATTCTACAATGTCATGTCAACTTTATTTCATCATGAGTTCCTTGGTTTTTAGCTTAGCGCCCACAATCTCGTGACTCAGATGTCCTACAGTGCAATTCAAACAGCTCCATGTAAAGGTGTTGGCGTACATTATTGGGGATACGATTATAATTATACACCGTGTAACCATAAATGATCAATTCCAAGTGAACGATATCATTTAACTATGCTCTACAATAAATGAGCTCAGAAACTGATCCACACTCTGTACTTACCTGCTATGGGCCCTCCGATGAGGTACCCCATCCCGCACGTAAACATCACCCAACCCATGGCGGATGCTAGATGATGTACTCCCACAATGGCATATGTTATTGGGTTAAAAGGGTCCATATGCCACCATTATATACTCCATAACAAAAGAAAATATGATCCTCAACACAGACGTTCGAGTTAAGGGGGTATGAAGAACACAAGGACACAAGTCAGACCATTGACCCCAGAGTACAGAAGCGATGGTCCAATCTTGGGGTCTGTTGCAGCAAATCCCAAACAGATCCTGGACACAATGCTGCCGACACCGATAACTGAGACTAGTGACGACGCATGTTGGAAGGTCGCCCCTTGTTTCATCACAAAATCAGGGAAGTACAGCTTCAAGGTCGAGTTTCCAATTGTGAAGGTCATAACGCTTAACAGATACAAAGAAAGGCCATGTTTAGGAAGTGTGGTATAGAGCATGAGCGGGACTTGGTTGAAGCAGGATTGACATCTTGAGGCTAGGTTCTCTTGGTTGGCTTCTCCGTCTTCTTGGTACCTCTGATGTCTTTGACGCTCGTGTTGGGAAGGTCTCATGAAAACCACACACACAAGACTGAAAGGTCACTGCTCCCAGGAGAAGGAAGGCCCCTTTGAGTCCATACCCATCCACCAGGTACTGTGTGAGAGGTGGCAGAATAAAGTTGCCGATGCCAATGCCAACTATTCCTATCCCCGTGGCTAGGCTTGTCCGCTTCTTGAAGTAAAACCCTAGTAACACGAGGCAGCCAGTGTAGCACAATCCTTGGCCAAGTCCTAGAAATACAATTTAGCTAATTAAAGAGAAACAACATCGTTATGTTTTAATGCGAATAAATCGGAAACATATGCTTCTTTTCATCGAGACTGGAATTTGTAAATTTGGGGGAGTTCAAGAAATGTTATTCATGTATCTGACAACTATTTTTTAATGGTTAATTGCCTATCTTTCACAAACCATGTCTAGGTTTTACGATCGACTACTTTGTGCTGACAAAACAAATCTTGAAAAGAAAAATATATAAAAGCAATAATATCACCGGTTACAAAATTAGTAACTACTCATACATGACTTCTTTGAGGCATTTTAGAAGTTGTATAGGTGAAGGAAAACCAAGTTCTATTCATAGTCTACTTCTTTATTGCAATGAGTGCGACGTTTCGGTGTAGGTATGAACATCGTTATCAAGCAAGTTGGACTTTCCTGCGACGTTTCGGTGTAGGCACTAACACCCTTATCCAAACAAGTTACCTCCACCGAAACGTCACACTCGTTTGCAATGAAGAATTTGACTATCCATAGAACTTGGTTTCCTGCGACGTTTCGGTGAAGGCACGCACCCTTATCAAACAGTTACCTACACCGAAACGTCACACTCGTTGCAATGAAGAATTTGACTATCCATGGAACTTGGTTTTCCTGCGACGATTCGGTGTAGAGCACTAACACCCTTATCAAGCAAAGTTACCTCCACCGAAACGTCACACTCGTTGCAATGAAGAATTTGACTATCCATAGAACTTGGTTTCCTGCGACGTTTCGGGTGGAAGGCACTTACACCCTTATCAAGCACAAGTTACCTACACCGAAACGTCACACTCGTTGCAATGAAGAATTTGACTATCCATAGAACTTGGTTTCCTGCGACGTTTCGGTGTAGGCACTAACACCCTTATCAAACCAAGTTACCTCCACCGAAACGTCGCACTCATTGCAATAAAAGTTGACTATCCATAGAACTTGGTTTCCTTTACTCATACAGGAACGTGTTCATCTCATACTGCCAACACAACAGACTCTCTACCTCATACCAGTGACCACTGCTCCGTTGTATGTCCATACTCACCTGCCATCAAGGCATATGAAGGAAAACATTTATGTCAAACTACGCTTACGTTAAATTCCGACCCACACCCGTGCCCAATGTCCTGACTTACCCGCCATCAGGGCGTATGTGAGGAAGAGCCAGCGTATGTCATCAGCGAGGGCTACTGGGAAGCAAACCCAACGAGGCCAAACACACCGCTTACTATGACACAACACCGACAGTTCCATCTGTTGATGATGAAGCTGGCCACGGGACCTGAATTAAAAGGGAAGGTAGAAATGTATTTCAATACTTTCCCTCGAGAGAAACAGCAGGGGCAATTGTGGACAGAAGCATGAAAAGAATCATGAAACCTGTTTTCTTCCTGCCAAACCAAATTATGATAAACAAGGCTACCCAACTGGACTGTCCCGACCTACGATACGATTTTCTGATATTTTCTGAGTTGTGTTGAACCCGTCTTCAGCCTGACAGCACACTGACTAATGAAAATATCATTTGTGTAGTGTTTAGGTAGTACTTCTAACATGCTGTGAAAATACCTGAAAGGGCAAACATGCAGGAGTAGAGAGAGCCAACCCATGACGTCAGTGTGACGTCATCTTGAAACGTCTCGAGAAGCGCCACGTGCATGACGCCAGCAATACTGGATAGGCTCGTGTTGAGGAAAAGAGCACAAAGCGACGCCACTACCACCACCCATGCCCATGGCTCGAGTCTGTCGGACATGTTGTTAGCCCATCTGGGTCTGTCAGTACCACTGTAATGAGAGGTATGCATATGAGACGTGAAACATCCTTAGTAGCTGCCCAAAAAGACAGTTCTGAGAAACCTTTTCATAAATACCTACTGGGCTTCTGTCTAACCAACTCTCCCACTCATGTTGTCCTCATATGAGGATGGCGTCACAATTTATCTTTAGATATGTGACAGTATTGTTTGACTTAATGGCAAGCTATATAATACAATGACTATACAGTACAACCAGAAATTCTTGAGAATTTAAAGATTGTAATTTTTATATTTTTTCACTCATTACTCACGTATTAAATGTGAAGATTAGCAGAACATAACTCCAGATTCAAAGACAGGTGAACAGTATTTTGTCAAGTCACCATGGGCAGCAAAGCAGGCTTCAATGCGCGGCAGGGCATACTACTGATCAAAGAAGTTAGAAAGTTGTGGTCCATGCTGTCCCAATATCGGACCACCTCTTCTTTCATTTCAGCAATATTTGTCAGATTTTTCTTATTGACACTTTCCTTCATAAGTCCCCAAACTGTTTCTATTGGATTTAGGTCAGGGTCATTGGCTTGGCCAATCTAATAATGTCATATTTTGGGTCCTAAACCAGGCCCGTGAATGCTTTTTGACGATGTTTTGGGTCGTTGTCCTGCTGGAAAATCCAAAACTTCCATAGAACAAGTGAGCAGATGGAAATACATGTCCTCGAAAATATCTGTGTACCGCTCACTGTTCATATTCCCTTCAAATACACAGAGGGGGCGTTGCCCCTGACACAGATATGACAGCCCACACATTAAATTTCGGACTGTACTTTGGGCGTTGAGAGAAAAGTTTTCAGTTTGTTTAGTCCAGAATTTCAATGTATTAGGAAACAGTCACACAGAACCTTCATCTGAGAAAATCACATTGTCCCAGTTGAAATTTCTATGCTGTAAGCACCAGTTCAACCTTCGCTCCTTTTGTTCAGGTTTCATGATCGGTGATGGAATTCCTCGACTTTTCTGCCAACCCATTGCATGCAGCTCAGTTCTAATTGTCTCCTTACAGACAGCCACAGTTCCTTTATCAATCATATCCAGCCCTAGCTTTTCTAAACTCCTTCGTTTGTTTTAGAAACAAGAATACCAAGCCGCCTCCTGTCACCGACAGTCAATTTTCTGGGCCTACCTGCGCCTCCCTGGTGCTCAATGCCATATCCATTTCAATATTTTCAAAACACAATAAAAAATGTGGACAAAGGGATGCCTGCTCTACTTTAGCTGATCTGATGTCCTTGTTATAATACTCTAAAATCAACTTCCTCTTCTCTAAATCATCCATACTGGGGATCACTGAAAATGTCGTCTGCTAGCAAGTAAAACAAAGGGGATAACTCTTTCTGATATACTAGAAATCCAATTAAACATATTCCTAAAATTCTCAATAATTTCTGGTCATACTATAGCATAACTATATTCACTGATATACCGCAATGGTGGTCCGGGGTATTTACCGAACTCGAGACTGTGTGACCTATTTCTCGATATGCAATCTCCACTCCACGAGCACATGGGGCCGTGCGCCTGGATATCTTTGTCTGTTGCAACAGCTGTGTGTAGATGCGATAGCAAACTTACAATTCGTTGAAATCTTACAAGATCGCTGAATATTAAGTGAAATTATATTTATAGTTATATTTGTAATTTAAGAAGAACAATGAATAGATATGGTTGAATAAATCCATCAATCAATATAGGATTCACTATTTATATTCCATCTGCTCACTGGATAAGATTAATGATGCATGTGGTCATATGTGTAGTTGATTTAATGTTGCAGTGTATCAGGTATATTTACAAATATGTAAAATATCGTTGTTTGGTCAGTCGTGAACAACCTCCAAGCAATTGTAGTTACAACTTTAAAGACCGCCTCCGTGGTGTAGTGGTTAGAGCGTCCACCCGGAGACTTGATGGTACTTGTTGGTCCCTGCCTAGCGCTCGGCATTAATCGGTACAACAAGGACTGGTCGGCTCGAGTCAGTATAATGTGTCTGAGTGGGGTATTCATGCTTCACTGCGGCATGGTATCTCAGTGGGCTAGCACTATAAAACCAGCTTTAGTCTGGGCTAGTACAAGCAGCCGCACATACACATACACACACATGCATGTCGTCATATGAGCGAAATATTCTCAAGCACGACGTTAAACCCAATTTCACCTCACCTCACCTACAACTTCAAACTTATGGATTTGGATGCACAACTTAAAAAGAGGAAATAGATTTGGAATAGACCCATTATGTCCCAGCCAGCTGTCATCCAAAGTCTTATTTCCATAAATGAAACTTTGTAGTTGTTCCCACTAACAAGGACTCTAATATTATAACCATTACATGTAGACATCACTGCATTAACTGTTTCTACCAGGAGAACTTGCTGTACGTGACATATCAAATAATGCCATATATAAGGCCAGTGTGTTAACTGGGGAAGAAATCTGTCTAAACCATTCATCGGTGCAGTCAACGTTCGTCTTGACTCTGAAACCAGAAGACACGCCCATTCCTCTTTCGTACTGGCTTCCAAAGCTCCATTAAATATTAAATAGAAAGATAGATATATTGCTGGGTCAAGCATATATACCACCATATCGCTGTCGAAAAATATCCATAATCTTTAATACTATCAAGGAAGGACTATATATCAGAAAGTATTTGAGACAAGCAGAATTAACATCATCTGGTTCTCAAAACTTCAAAGACTTTGAACCGGACCGTGTTCAGATCTGTCAAAACATTTGATTTTTCAACGTTGTACACCACTATCCATGACAAACTTAAGGAAACTTTTCATTCTTTAAACCATGAATTACAGGTACGTGAACACAAGTATACTTATTTAAACCACTAGGGAAAGATATGTCCATTGTTCTTGGAAGTGTTTTATTAGCATAACTGAATAACTGCCTTAGGGCGATTATGTCTTTTAAAAACAACAACAGTGTACTCATTTTGATAATCTTCATCATGCCTAATACATTACACGCGTATTAAATAAGTATGCTCTCGTGGTGTAAGCCGTTTAATCATCCTCACACCGGTAGTTATTCAAATAAACTCTGCTCCGGCTGAAGCCCTCGCATAGTTTATTGATAAATACCTTGTAAGGAAGTGATTTACCTATACGTATCCAAGTTCAGAGGTTCAGGAAAAATGTCCAAAATTAAAGCACTTGAAGTTAACTGAGAAAACCATATGTAGAATGCTGAATATACTTCCTCATTGATAACATCAAAGAAACATGTGGAGGTATTCCCATTGGAAACAACTGAGTTCCCCTCCTTGTGAATCTATTTCTTTGTGCATATGAATCATAGTTTTTGCTCGGTTTGGCAAAATTAAAACAGGTAGTTTGGCCAAGAAATTGAACTTAAGCTTCCGGTATATCCATGATCTTATAAATATCGATCAATAACCAAGGAGAATAATAATTAAGGAAACAAGCGAGACAGCCTCAACTGGTCCATTTTAGATCTATGCATAAAGAATCACAGTGACAAAAACTCTCCACAAGGCTGTATGACAAGTGGGATGATTTAAACTTTCCAACAGCCAAATGTGACTTGTCTTTGACGGGTGTCACCGGTGGGGCGGAATATGCTCACGCTTTCGCGAACGCCTGGTATCATGACTATGTGATTTACATGAAGATGAAGATCCGGATATTCAGCAACCATAGTTTGTCGTAAGAGGCGACTAACGGAATCGGGTGGTCAGGCTTACTTACTTGGTTGATATGCCATCGTATCCCAATTGCGGGGTGGTGGGGTAGCCTATAGTGGTTAAAGCGTTCGCTCGTCACTCCGAAGGCCCGGGTTCGAATCCCCACATGGGTACAATGTGTGAAGCCCATTTCTGGTGTCTCCCGCTGTGATATCGCTGGAATATTGCTAAAAGCGGCGTAAAACTAAACTCACTGTCGCTGTATCCCAATTGCGTAGATCGGTGATGATGATCACTGGATTATCTGGTCCAGACTCGATTATTTTCAGACAGCCGCCTCTACAGACCGCCGCCATACAGCTGAAATATTGCCGAGTGCGGCGTAAAACTAAACTCACTCACTCACTCTGGATTGTCACTACAGACAGCCGCCATATAGTTGAAATATTGCTGAGTGCGGCGTAAAACTAAACTCACTCACTCACTCACTACAGACAGCCGCCATATAGCTGGAATATTGCTGAGTGCGATGTTAAAAACAACAAACAAACTATTTGTCATGTTCTGTCATCGTATTACCATTATGTTAGTCACTGGATTGTCTGACCAAACAGCTGTGGCGGTACACAAATAAAACAAACAAACAAACAAACCCATGGCTCATTATATGGTCGGAATTGTACAGTGGACTCGGCTTTCAACAGATATGTCTTATGGCAGTAGAAAGGGATCTGTCGCTTTTGTTGTTTAGGTACCGTTCATAATTTATGGCTAGTGGGGTGATGATGATTTTATGGAGACGCATGTACAATGTAAATACCCCCACCCCCACCCCCTAAGATTTATGTACAAAGTAAGTGACACACACCCCAACCCCCAACCCCCACTGCATGTCAAGCTCAACAAACTCAATGACACCCCACCCACCCCTTCCCATAATTTTTTAAGCATACTACATGTATTTAAATGTTTTTATGTACATAATTATTAAAAAATCACACAATCCAGTGAATGAAATTTTGAGCGAATGGCCTGTAATCCAACTTTATAGAGGCGGCCTGATTATAATTGAATCTATACCTGATAATCCAGTGATTGACATCATTTACCACGGTCGACTATAACCTAGGTTCCGGGCATCCAATATTGTTGCCCTGAAACCCAACGGGTAAGACTCGGGAAAGAAATAAACGTGATGAAGGAAAATATTGATAGAATAAAGTTGGCATATGTTGTTTAACGCCGCAATATTTCAGCTATATGACGGCGGTCTGTAAATAACCGAGTCTAGACCAGACAATCCAGTGATCAACAGCATGAGCATCGATCTACGTAGTTGGGATACAATGACATGTGTCAACCGAGCCTGACCCCCCGATGCCGTTAGTTGCCTTTTACGACCAGCGTAGGTTACTGGAGACTATATTTAACCCGGATCTTCACGGGTATAAAATAAAGAGGAACAGTGGAAACCGTAAACATTTTAAGGGAGGTAGCCCTGTAAAATGGGCACCAGTGGCTTACCCTCGCCCGAAAAGGATATATTCGGGATTAACTGATTGTTTAGATTGTATATGATATTTATTTACTTACACAGCAGTATCTTGAAAGGAATGGTGCATGACCCGTCCCTCCACTGTACACCATGAATGCAAGATAGAGACAGGCTAATCAGGCAGGACAGTGGGATTTCCACAGTATACAAGTGCTAGTGACTGACAGGATCGTGAAGAGGGGTGAGTGAGTGTGTGAGGTTTAGTTTTGCGCGGCTTTTACAAATGTTCCAGCAATATCACGGCGGGTACACCAGAAATGGGCTTCACATATTGTACTCATGTGTGGAATCAAACCCAGGTCATCGGCGTGACGGGCGAACGTTTTAACCACTAGGCTACCCCACCGCCCTTAACGAAGGGAGAACAATGAGCTGTCGTGACATATCTGACGCGTAGGAAATGCACGTATACCTGTTTACACAAGCAAAGAAACGTCATACTTAAACCTTCCCAATCTTATCAGCTTCGACTCGCTCTAGATTCTCACCCGTCTGTGTACACAGCCGCACTTGAATGCAACAAAAATGCATAATATGCCGTTGTAAGGGTTATTGTGTCTGAATTAGAACAATTAAAACTCACATGTGTGGAGCATGTCATTACAAAAAAGATTAATAAAGTAGTTTGCAGAAATTGAAAGTTTAACCTTTGACAGAAGTAAACAATAGCACCACTCACCGCCAGCCTTGTTCGGATGTGTTCACACAATGAACCGGTGTAGCAGGTCAGCGTGTCCCTCTGGTGAAAATATCCACCTGCAACACCTTAGGAGGGCAGGATATGTTGTTCCCGTCCAGGATTACAAATCCCTCGTATGACATGCCAGACAGGATTCATCCGATATTCAAGCCACGTGTTACGTTCATTTCGTGTCTGCATTATAATATACAGATTTTACAACCCCGGGTCTGGTTGATTTTCAGATCTGTAAATCGCTGTGAGTGCTGTAGTCTGTCTCACCGTCCCCGAACCATATTATTTTCCTTCTACCTAGCCCTCCCTGCAATGCTAAAGCCTGTAATGGAGCAACTATAGACTTCCCCAGGTTCTGAATCTCCCATCTCAATGGGGCTCCTTTTCAATTTAAATGGGTTTATTGTTACTATGAAAATTATATACGTTCGGAGACTGAGCGTTAGTCTATAAGTGCAGATTTGCTGGCATGTTTCAGTTTGAGTTTCACATTCAGATTTAAAATTATATCTCACATACTGGTGACATGTTGCGCACAACAGAGATTAATAGCTTAGTTTGCAGAAGCAGAAACCTTTCTCAACAGAAAATTACAACTTACCACTAGCTTCGTTTGTGTGTGTGTTGACAATGGAACGGTGTAGCGGGACAGTGTGTCCCTCCCGTAAAAGTATCCGCCCGCAACATCTTTCCGAGTCATCCGACATACAAGTCACGTATCTCGCCCATCCCAAAAGAAAAACGTAACCTGTGTGGATAACTGAAAAGTTTTTTATTTCGCCCTCAAATTTGAAACAAATGTATTCAGTGATTCCACTCAAAATTTTCTGACATGTAAGTGTACTGTACATATTTAGATGGTTATAGAAAAATCGTCAGGCATCGAGTGTATTTCTGTGACCCCATGAGTTCTGGTTTATATAAAAGTACAATAAGGAAATAGGACGTTCTCTTGGGCTGCGCCTGACTCAATGATAAAGTAATTCTCACCGGGAGACCTCGACGTTTTCTTTCATTTGATGAACGCCCTGCAATTAAACACGTGCTGCACGTGGTGTCTCTTGAGGCTTGTGACACAAAATATGCCTCTGTTCATCCAGAGGTGGGTACCCGTTAGGATGAGATGGTAACAGTTCTTCTATCGAGACTGACAATAAAATAGATTAACGCTTAATGTCTGAAAACTATTTCTGAAAAGGAGCTCCAGTGAGTTGGGAACCCGGAAGAAATCTAGACTTGCCCTTATTTAGGGTTTTGGCATTGCAGTGAGGTCTGGGCAGGAAAATAATGTGGTTCAGGGAGGCAGACTAGTGGGGACAGCAAAGTAGTGGTAGAAGAAGTAGTAGTAACAGTAGTAGTGGTGGTAGCATCTTCGATAATCTCCGGGATATACGTTCCGATAAATCTCCACTATACCCTGGATGCATCTAAGGCTGATGATTTTATTACCTCCTTTGCGGGCTCCGCATTCTCACAGTAGCCAATCAGGTAAGTCGCCGTTACAACCTAGCTGGCCAGTATCAACAAAGATAGCGGTCGCAGCCGCGAATGTTTGTTCGCAGTGCGACTCAGATTTTAGGGGAAAACATACAGACAAATTGACAGGTCTGAAATCTACCTCTTTCAGAGTACCCCAGCAACAATATATGATTGTGTTGCCAAGTTTAATCGGTTAGATAATCTAAAAGCGAAAGTGAGTTGTGATTGATAATTTCAACTTCCTAGCATTGCAACCTGATTGGATAAAAAGCCAACCAAGGGAGGTAATAAAATCATCGGCTCGAGCCGTAGATGCATCCAGGTTATAGTGGCGATTGATCGGAACGTTTACACAGGACATTATCGAGGATGCGTTGGTAGTAGTGGCAGTAGAGACAGCAGAGACAGTTATTTTATAGAAAGTTATAGCAATTTGTTGTCCAGGGTTGTTTCCCCTTGGTCTACCAGAAGCCTGTGATTGTTGGTTCGAATACCTGATTCTTACTGATTATGTTTCATCATCTGTCGGAACCATAAACTCACTAAACTCACTAAGACCTCGGTCATGTACCAAACACGACTTTACGATTAAACCTACTCACTCGAATACCAACAGTTGACGTTTTGGGACTGTTTGGACATATATCAAAGTTACCAAGCTGTGTTCTTCCTGTAGTGTAGTCTGGATCATCTGCAGGGGTGTCAGTGTGGTGTTTTAGATCCAGAAAGCTGTAAGAAAATGACATTTAAGACGTGTAGACAAGGAAAGCGTAAGAATAAGAACTAAATCATTCATATGGATGTCATACGTTTATAATTTATTGTGTGCGGTTTTGTTTTCGCCTTCGATTCACACAACATACATAAACATTTCAAAGTGGATGTGCGTCACTTCACTGGCACATTTCATTTAGAATATCCGACTATATGAGTTTACAATCGTTGCAATAAAATCAGACACTTGCTGAACTGTTGTATTTGAATGTTCGTGCGTGCTAGCCTAGTGGTTAAAGCGTTCGCTCGCCATGCCAAAGACCCAGGTTCGAGTCCCCACATGGGTACAATGTGTGAAGCCCATTTCTAGTGTCCCCTGTCGTGATATTGCTGGAATATTGCCAAAAGCGGCGTAAAACTAAACTCACTCACTCGTGTAATCTGAGTGGAGTTTGTGTCCAGCGTCAAAAGTGTGTATCTTTCAGCAGTTTCCTTTCATTTACTAATATGTGTAAGTATAAATCATATAATATAATATCATATCTTATTACCCACGTGGTCAACGTATGGATAGTTGCATACTAATCTCGTACGTCACACGAGTGTCGTATCACGGTGACATGTGTCGTAAACCACTTGACCTGATATTCTAACGATTTGATCGGATAACCGATGACCTCTCAATTAGGTCACATTCTGACGTAACTATTTTTTCATTCATATCAAACACGTCAATTCATTCATTCTACAACTTAAATGCATTCTGGGAATGTAAACAGTAGGAATGTTGCCGTGTCGCTGTTTAAGTGTGAGTCGAACTGAGACATTATATCCGTCGAAAACATAAACGCAATGTTTCCACCAGTGATGTTAGCCGAATGAAGCAACTTCAAACCAAGAAACGGAGCTGCTACTGTAGGAGGCTGTACGAGGCGATGACAACTGACATGCATCGTGACGTCGGTTACCAAGGCAGTGACGTCATTACAGTGTGACGTCATGAAAATATTGTACTACAGTACAAAACTCTTCAGCAACCTCTTTATGACGGCGAGTAGCCAGCCTATGTTTAAACGTAGATTTGGATGTATTTGTAACAGCGGAACCCATGACATCTCAAGAAACAAGGGAGTACTTGTAGTGGTTCGAGGGATTTATTCGGACAAATAGACGTCCAGATCTGCCCTAAAACATACACGATTCAATCATAAACATCATGGCAGTACATAGACACAAGATAACGATATTACTTATAACACTTTTAAGATTTACAGTTCATTTAGCAATATTCCAGCAATATCACGGCGGGGGACACCAGACATGCGCTTCACACATTGTACCCATGTGGGGAATCGAACCCGGGTCTTCGGCGTGACGAGCGAACGCTTTGACCACTAGGCTACCCCACCGCCCCAATGTTTTGGATTTTGCATATGAATGAAAGTATGTTTCAAAAGTAACATGGCTCAAAATTCAAGTCATTTAAACTTAATTCGGCTGAAACGATCTCACCCGGAAACTTCAAAACAATATAGTAACAATAATGGCTATTTATAAAGCGCCTGTATCCAGGCACTTGTGCATGCTCAATGCCCTAACACATTATTACCCCGGTTAACCCCAGTTGCCTGTGAGGCGTTGGAATGTTATCAGTCACAATGACTTTTCCTAACGGGTACCCATTCACTGCTTGGTGAACAGAGGCAAGTTTGAACAAGCTCACTTGGCTAAAGTGAGACCACATGTGTCACGTGTGCTTCTTTGTGGGGCAGGGCTGAAGTCATAGAAACTCTCAGGAGTCAAACTGCCAAACACGGTCACCAATCACAACGTTGCTGAACTTCAACTGATTTATGGCATGCGCCAAAGCCATACTGCGGTATGCGAGATGGAGCCAAGTCGTACCTCCGCCACGGACTACCGCCCTATGACGCTATATCACATATCATGCAGTCTCTCCAAGATATTGCATAATTATGGGATTTTCTATTTTCGACGAGTTCCATGTCTAGATATACATATATAATAGGATGGTCAGCTTTAATTGAGAAAATATCTTAAAACGTCAAGACTGACTGACTGACTGATTATGGTTTTATGCCGCTTTCAGAAATATTTCAGCAATATCACACAAGAAATGGGTTTCACACATTGTACCCAATTCGAACCCGGGCCTTCGGTGTGACCAGCGAACACTTTAACCACAAGACTACCCCATCGCCCATTAAAACGTCAAGAACTATTTCTATTTGCGTAGTTATCCTTGCTTTATATAGGTTGTACGGCTCCGCGTTCTGTCACGGAAGCCTTTCGTAGACATGGTAGAGTGTAAGTCCTTTTGTCATGATCCTCACAGTCGTTGTAGTATTGCTGGAATATATAGATAAGCGGCGTAACTCACTCACTCACTCACTCCTGTGTCATACAACTCGCCAATAGTGTATTTCTAACGTTATGTTCTCTCTCCTTTTCAGAGTACAAGGTCATCTATGGGCAGTGATGACGTGAAGGAAGTGGCGTCACACAACATGGCCGTGTGGTGTTAGAACGCTACCTCGATATAGCCACGCCGTCAGTAGTGGTGCCGTGTCCTTGTCAACCGTTGTCATGGAAACCGTCTCCTGACTGTGGCCCTACCAGTACTGTACTGGATTCAACTGAAACAAGTTATAAGACAAAGCACATTCCAATGACAAATTATCTCCCTTAGGTCCTTGACATTATGTTATCTTCTACCTCTGATCGCACAGTCCTCTGGTTGTGATGGTTGATTGGTTTATTATTAGTTTCATTATTATTATTATCATCATTATTATTATATACGTTATTTGTTTTATCTTAGTTGTTTTCAATGGCGTTTCTCCGGCCTGTTTCTTCATGAACACTTTACAACGCCTGTATTCTCTTTGTAAGCATTTGTTGTTTTGTCATATTTGATATGTGCACGCAAACTTCAAATAAAGCCGAAGACTTGATGGAT